TAAAAATGAAAAGGTGTTGATACATAATAAATTGCTCCAAAACCAACTTGCTATGTATAGAACACTGATTTCAGAAGTCATAGTTCCCAGTATTAAGTTATGACTCATATATATTCTTTTTCTGTTCTGTTCAGTAGTTCACAGCAGATCTGAGTGTTTTAATTAAAACATGGAATACAGAAAACAACAGAAAACTTAAAGCATTAATTTCATCTGGAATTTCACAGGTAAGTTCATCATACTTTTAACTTATAAATTATCCTAATTGATTAAAATGCCCATAATAATGCCCTTTACAAGGTTTTAAGTATTGTTGACTCAGCCACGAAGTTTGTTGTATATTCTAGTATGATTCTTTCATCAGAGGATTTGAAGAAGTTCAAGAGTGAAGCTCTACTAAGGCATTCGAGATTATATATATTTTCTTTTTTCTTGTTTAAAAAATAGAGACAAGGTCTCTTTTTGTTGCCCAGGTTGGACTGGAACCCCTGGGCTCAAGTGATCCGCCTACCTCAGCCTTCAGAATAGTCAGGACTTCAGGTGTGTGCCACCTCACCTGGCTCTTATAATATATATTTTCTTAAAAATTGAATTATTAAAATACCATGGTTCTTCAGGAAAACCAAATAACTGTAAAAACTTAATTTGGTGAGTCATATTCAAGTTCTGACTCAGCTCCCTTTATGCCTAAGAAAATGCTCCATTGAATACTTTCCTCTTTCCCCTTTGGATGAATGATTTATCGTCTTCTTTTGTCCAGACTCCAGCTTTGTTCCGTCCACCTTTGGATGATGCAGGTAGAACTCTGTTTTAGGAAATGCCTTTGTCCCTTTCACAACTGTGTCGTGTCCAGACCAAATAAGCCTTTACAGAGATGGACCATTGTTACTCACTGTGGGGTAGCCTCCCACTGCATGGGTAGCCACATGGATAGGGTCAAGCATATGGGGTTGCACAGGATATTTTTACTGCCCTTGCACAACAGATGCACTCAAAAGTTACAGTTCATTTAACAGCAGGCTCTTTGGCAAACATCTCTCTTAGGACTACGAACAATGGTTTTATATGAATAAAAAATTGTATATTATAAATATTGATTTGATTTTGTTCCCAGGCCTTTTGGCATATCATGCATTAGAGGCCAGGGGAAGATGAGAGGATCAGCTAGAAATATGGCAATTTGTAGGGGGCACATCAGCATGGGAAAGGAAGTTGAAGCCATGGAACATCCCTAGTGTGGGGCCCCAAGTGTCTAAAGGTTGGAAGATTTGGCTGGAATCTTCCTTGTGCTCCTTGAGGCTCTGAGACATTAAGGAACTAAAAGAAAGCTAGAATAGATGGCTTCTATTTCTCTGTCTCCTATTTGGAACTATATTTAGCTATTATTTTGTTTCCAGACTTTGTTTTCAATAATGGAGTTACCACTTTATGCAAAAGCAGAATGAAGTAGCTGAGACAGAGACCCCAGAGCCCACAAAGAAAATATTTGCTATCTGCCTTTTATGGGGAAAAAAAAGTTTGCCCACTTCTGGGATAGAACATGGATTTCTGCTAAACTCTTAAGCTGTGCATTTTGAACAGGCTCATAAAAGTTAGAATAAAGAAGTCCTGCTTCTGTTAAAACATTTCACAAGCCTATAGCCACCATTCCTGCAGGATGACAGTGAGGGCTAAAACCATGTCTCATATCTGGAACTACATTTGGCTGTTCTGGTTACAGACTTTGTTGTTGAGAATGGAGTTACCCACTTTCTAAGATAAAACTTACCATCAACTTTCATCTCTAAGTATTAAATAATTTCTTTCTCTATACCGATACAGATTCTATAATTTATGCCTTTATTGGGCACTAACATTCTGAGAGTGCAAACTCACCTCCCTGCCATGGACTGTGGTCAGTAATTTAGAAACATTTTGAGCTGGGAAGCCTCCCCCATGTTCTCCAGGTGGGCCTCACTCAAGATGTTTAGTCTGAAATGTGTAGTTGTGAGCCTTCCGCCGTGCTGTGCATTGAGTGTCGCCAACTTGAGGACAGGGCTTGCCTGTCTGCTTCCCCACTGCTGCCCCAACCTCTAACACGGGTTCAGAATATCAAATGAATGAATGAAATACCCTCAGATGACAAAGGTAGTGGTAATTGATGGATTGTTGTAACTAACAAGAATAGTAAAGATCTGTAATATTCCCAATTTAGGGTAGTAATGGGAAGAAATGTTAACTAGAGCAGCTCCCTGATGCCCTTCCTCCAGTGGATAAAGCAGTGTGTAACAAAACAGACGCAGAAAGCCCAGCTTTCAGGGCAGCCTTGCTGCTGTTCTGTCTGACTTGTGTGATCTTCGCTCTGCTCCAGTTTTCCTAGCTCCCTGGACCTAGTTGACCTGTTGGCTCTTACCACTGGCTGCTCTGTCCCGTGGTGCTCTCCGACTACCCACCCTGAGTGTAGAAGTGCGTCTACTGCAGCTGCATTCTTTGCTCCCTGCCCAAGAATCTCAGGAGGCTGCGGGATTAGGTGTGAGGTTGGTCTCTTGGGGCACTGTGCCCTGGTAGGAGCTTGGCATTTGGAGTTGAAGGTCTCGAGTTTGGGTTCCAAGTCTTCCTCTACCTGGGCTGCACTGTTCCTGGAAAATGGGATTGATGTTAACACACATTTTACAATGTCATGAAATGTGCTTTGTAAATTGTAGTTAGAAGCACTGTAAACTTGTATAGTACTCAGAACTCTACTTCAGCCGTCTTTAAAAAGAAAAAAAAAAGGCCCTGCCAAAAACACCAACATGTATTGCAAATTATTAAGATTGATTTTGTATGTTTTTATTGGAATGTGCAGATAGGGCAGAAGCAAAAAGAAGATTGCAGCTAAGTTTTCCTTCTCAAGTCCTGCTGCTTTTGTTTGCTCCTCATTTTTCTCATTACCAAACCCAGAAATCCATAAAAGATTCTGCGTGCCGCAACCCAGAAATCTGAGATTCCCGTATACAGGGATCGTTTTACCTATAGGAAAGTAGTTTGTTTTCAAACGTTATATATGTCTTATTTACCTGTATCTTTAAAACTCAGGTGTCTTCTACCTCAGCACATCGAAACAGCAGGCTTCCATTTTAATGAAACTTTAATGAAAGACATTTTCCCATACATCTTAGAAGATACCTGAGGATGGTGGTTCTGCATCCAGCAGGGTTTCAAGGGAAGGATTGGGAAATGGTAATGGAGTATAGGTATTTATACTCACTGTCTACACTGTCTACCTAAAACTGTGTGGCAGCCACAGAGTAGTGCCTCATGTGGGCATTTTTCTTAAACTCAGTAAATACTTCAAATTCATTCCTAGAAATTGAACAATTTAAAATATTTATGCCAAAATGAGACCTTTTCTATGAACTATATTTTAAACATCGATAACAGAGTTGTGGAACCTTGTCATTAAAAGGGACCTTAGAAGTTTCTTAGAATGACTTAAAATGCAGTGACAAATCAACCTTTATAACGTACCTGACAGCCACTGAAGATTTTCATTGGTGAGGAGCAGCCCATTCTAGTAATCTGTATTGAACTCTCCCACTAATTTTTTTAAATCTTTGGGTCATTTGCCTTCTGGAGTGATACATATTGTTCAAAATAATTTGAAAGTATCTACCAGGGCCCTTCTGAGCTTTTATTGTCTCCAGAACGGAGCATCCCCAGTTCCTTCAACCACATGTCACACAATCCTCATGGGAGATGATAAACACTTCACCAAATGAGGTTCCCTCTTCTGACTTTAATGTGTTAATGACCCTTTGATCCTTTTGAAATGGAACACATATGTGGCTATGGAACTATGACCCCTTTTGCCCAGATGCTTTTTCTGTTTCTTGAACCTAGGAGTATATTAGGGTGTGTGTGTGTGTGTGAGAGAGAGAGAAGGACACAATCTATTATTAACTTGTAGAGTTTCTGTTAGCACTGCCATTCAATCACAAGTACTTGGGAGTGCTTCCTATGTGGTAGGCACTATACTAGGTGCTGGGGACAGAGTGGTGTGCAAGAATGAACGTCATCTCTATGCTGGTAGAGCTGCATGGAGCCTGAGAGGTATCCTAGCCCAGTACCTTAAAGTTCTGTTAAGAAATAACTCCTCAAATTCAATGACTTGCCTCCCTGCCAGAACTAGAATCCTTTGTTCCCTGACTACCCAGTTATTCCATTACATCACCACCTTTTATCATATTGGACTCATACTTAGCTAAACCATAAGGTCTGTTTAGGCTGCTGTTAAAATGGACCCCCATCCTGCTCTTCTGCAGCTGGTTTTTTGAGCTCTGACATAGGACAATAAATGTGTTTCTGTCAAATTGCATCTTGCTATCTTTGGCCTTTTCTCACCTGTTAAAAGCTTTTGGATTATAATTACATCTTTTAATGAATTTGTCATTTTTTCCTGTTTTTTTTTCTTGCCTACAAAATTGAATAAGCCTACATTCCTTTGTCTTTAATTAGAAATATTAAATGAGAAAAGGCTAAAGATAGGCCTGTGATTTCTTTTTTTCCTAGTTTGACAAAGATGTTCCAGTCAACCTTAGAACATCAGCAGGAGGGCAGGTCTCTGGCACTTTTGGTAACACTATTCTCAGAGTCCAGCAGAAGCCCAAGAAATGTGTCTTGAACAAATTACTGTATAAAAAATACACTGGCTATGATGGATCAGCTAATTTTGAAGCCATCTAGCCACTATCATTACTCACATTTTCCCATTTTGTTTAGAGGGACTATAAGTGCCCAGCTCTCTTTACAGAGAATCCTGATTCTTAGGTGTTGTCTAGGAGTTACCTTGGTCCTCTGTTGAAGAACTCTGTTGAAAGTGGAGCTTAGGTTAGTCAAACAGCATTCTGTGAATCTTCTAGCTCCTGACGGTTGTTGCATTTGTGTCTTAAGTATTCACTAATGTTTACGGAGTCTCAGCAACTGCTTCAGAGTTATTTGGAATGCAGATTCATTAAGATCAGTCTCTTCAGCAATTTCTCCATTACCAAAAAGTGAACTTGTTGGGGAAGACTTGTTGAAAACTGGGTGAGGATTTAGAAGAGCTGAGCATGATTTGCATGGAGATTGAACTAGACTTCCCTTTTTTAAAAGTTTCTGGTTTAGCCACCTGGGTAGCTGGGATTGCAGGCATGCACTAGTACTCGGGGCTAATTTTTGTATTTTTAGTAGAGACGGGGTTTCACGATGTTGGCCAGACTGGTCTTGA